ACTACAGGCGCGCACTACCACCCCCGGCTAATTTTTGATTTATTGTAGAGATGAGGTCTCGCCAAGTTGCCCAGAGGGGTCTCGAACCCGCAGGCTCAGGCAATCCACTCACCTCAGCCTCCCAAAGGCACAGGATTACAGACTGAGCCACCAAGCCCGGCTGGCATCTGACTTTTTAAATCAGATTGTTTTCCTGACACCTGACATTAAATTGTAGACAACAGCCCAGCTCATTCAATGTAGGCACTGTCTGCCTCTTCATTCCAAAGAACCTCTAATAAGCAGAATTTCAGGTGGGTAGTTGACTGACCATGAGTCTGGTTTTCGGAAGAAAGGGAAGTGGCAGAGGCACTCTAAGTAAAATTACAACATGAAATGTGTCTCTGGCATTCACTCACTTCTTTTTTTTTTTTAAGTTGTGGTCTTGCGCTATCACCCAGGCTGGAGGTCAGCGGCATGATCACGGCTCATCGCAGCCTCAACCTGCTGGACTTAGGTGATCCCCTCACCTCAGGCTCCCAAGTAGCTGGGACTAACATGCCACCACACTCGGTTGATGTTTTGATTTTTGTAGTGACGGGGTCTCACTATATTGCCCAGGTTGGTCTCGAACTCCTGGGCTCAAGCAACCCTCCCACCTCAGCCTCCCAAAGTGTTGGGATTACAGGTGTGAGCCACCGTGCACGGCCCTACTTCTGTCCCATTCTAGTCCTCTGTTGCCTTCTCCCCTCTGCTTCCAGGGACTCAGTGTTTTCATGCTGAGGAGAAGCTCTGTCGTCTACCAAAGAGTCCCATATTCCAAAAAATTCCCTCACCCTCTCTCTCTCTGTCACCAATCAAAAGCCGATTCCTACCTTAGAGAGAGCATCCACAATTTTAGTATTTAAGTTCTAACAGTATAGAAAATGGTTTTTGCATGCTACCACAAAGATAGTAGACGCCTAAGAGAAGGCTGAGATAGGTCGGGCACGGTAGCTCACGCCTGTAATCCCAGCACTTTGGGAGACTGAGGCGCGAAGATCGCTTGAGCCCAGGAGTTTGAGACCAGCCTGGGCAACATACCAAGAACTCATCTCTTAAAAAAAAAAAAAAAGCTTGGTGTGGTGGTGTGCACCTATAGTCCCAGCATGCTTGGGAGGCTGAGGCAGAAAGATGGCCTGAGCCCAGGAGGTCAAGGCTGCGGTAAGCTGTGATGGTGCCACTGCATTTCGGCCTGGGCGACAGAATGATACTCCAGCCCCCCACCCCCCACCTCCCATCTCTCAAAAAAAGATTGAGATAATTTCTTCACCCTACTGCTTTCCTCCAGGAGGGAAAAAACTGGATTAAATTGTAAGACGCTTCCCAAGTCTATCTAGAGTACTCTTGTAGGGCTACTGTCATACTCAGAAGCCCTCTGCCCTGTTCCAGTGCTGCCCTGAGTCCTCAGCCCCACCTTCCCAACCCCTCACATCTGTCCCGTAGACACGTCTATTGCTTCTGGAGTGTTCCCTCTCTCGGGCGCCTACATGGTCCACCCTAGAAGCATTTAGCTAGTCGAAGAATTATAGAAGGAAAATTCTTGAAGTACCACGATCTTTCTAATAAATACCTGCATCTGGAAAGAACACACGTACAACTCTAATGGAGTAAACTGTGTGACACACGCTTTGCAATCCCGAGCCCTTTTCCTGGAAAGGTGGAACTCTCTCACCTGAGTCCTCAGCAAGAGTCACAGTCCTAAAGACCACATAAGAAAGATGTCCTCCATGCTATCTCCTGCCCCCAGGTTGGACTAGCTTGCTGGACGAGAGGACAAAAGCCCCTTAACTCGTGGGCAGTAAAGAAACAGAGAATGTGCCCAAAGGTGTTTTGTATCATAGTTCCCTCTACCTGGAACTCAGTAGACGGCGGGCAAATATTTAACGTTACACAAAACCCAGGCCCTTGTGAAGAATTTCTCCAGATGTAGTCTGTGATCTGACTTCACACACCAACACCAACACAGAGATGCCAGAGTCTCGCTCAGAAACTCCCAGGTCAGATTCTCTGGGGGTGGAGCCGGGGGCTCTGAGTTCGAACAGCCTGGCTGTGACCCTGCTGCCTACCCGGGCTGAGAACGGCCGTGGCTGCAAGGTGGTGGAACACATCTGGAGACTTGAGAGGGAGAAGTGGGTTCCAGAACTGGTGGGTGAGTGGACGCAGAGAGGGAGTTATGTTGGCTATATTTCACCAGCCCACCTGCAGGGACCGCAGGCTTCTAGAGGGGGTAAGAAGGAAATGGAACAGGTGACAAAACGGAAGGACACTGGTAACAGGCTGCAGTTCCACCTCTCTTGAGATGACAGCCATGGCCAGGGAGAGTTCTGGCTTCTAGAAAGTGGGCAAAGCAGGCATTTCCTGTGGACCCGATGATTCAGCAGAACTTTGTATCCTGGGAAGCTACCTCCTATTCTCCCTAAGATTTCTCAACTCTTAAAAATTAACCTTTTCCTCCTGGTTATTAAGTTCTTTCAATCCTAAAATATTTGTAAAACAAAGCAAAACAAATATAGTAAAATAAATTGACTGACTGATCCTAAAATTCATGTGGAAATGCAAAGGATCCAAAATAGCCAAAGCAATCTTGAAAAAGAACAACGAATTGGAAGACTCACTTCCTGATTTCAACACTTACTACAAGCTAGTAATCAAAGTAATCAGTACAGCATGGGACTGACATAATGACACAGAGATCAATGGGACAGAATTGAGAGTATAGAAATAAACACTTACTTTTTTTTTTTTTGCATCCCAAGATAAGTAAATGAGAAAAGAACAGTCTTTTCAACAAATGGCACTTGGACAGTTGGATACTGGACCCCTCACACCATGCACAGAAATTAACTCAAAATGGATGACAGACTCAAAAGTAACAGCTGAAACTATGAATATGTTAAAAGAAAATAAAGGAGTAAATCTTTATGACCCTGGATTAGACAATGGTTTCTTAGATATGACACCAGAAACACAACAAAAGAAAAAAATCGACAAACTGAACTTCATCAAATTTTTTAAATGTATGCTTCAAAGAACACTTTAGGCCCGGTATGGTGACTCACATCTGTAATCCCAGCACTTTGGGAGGTCGAGGTGGGAGGACTGCTTGAGCCCAGGAATTTAAGACCAGCCTAGGCAGTATAGTGAGACCTTATCTCTACAAAATAAAAATAATTAGCTAGGCATGGTGGCACATGCCTATAGTCCCAGCTACTCAGGATGCTGAGGCAGGAGGATTGTCTGAGCCCAAGAGGTCAAGGCTACAGTGAGCCATGATCGTGCCACTGCACTCCAGCCTGAGCGACAGAGTGAGAACCTGACTCAAAACAAAACAAAACAGCCGGGCTCGGTGGCTCAGCCTGTAATCCCACGCCTTGGGAGGCTGAGGTGAGTGGATTGTCTGAGCCCGCAGGTTTGAGACCCACCTGGGCAACTTGGCGAGACCTCATCTCTACAATAAATCAAAAAATCAGCCGGGCGTGGTAGCGCGCGCCTGTAATTTCGGCTACTCGGAAGGCGAGGCGGAAGGATCGCTGGAGCCCAGCAGGTCGAGGTTGCAGTGGCCGGGACCAGCCACTGCACTCCAGTCTGGACGACAGAGCAAGACTCCAACTCAAAAAAAAAAAAAAAAAAAAAAAAAAACACAAACACTATAAAGAAAGTGAAAAGACTACTCACAGAACAGGAGAAAATATTTGCAAATCATGCATCTGATAAGGGACTTGTATCCAAAACATATATAAAGAATTCCTACAACTCAATAATAAAGAAGCTGGGCGCGGTGGCTCAAGCCTTTAATCCCAGCACTTTGGGAGGCCAAGGTGAGAGGATCGCCTGTGCCCACGGGCTTAAGACCAACCTGAGCAACTTGGCGAGACCTCATCTCTACAATAAGTCAAAAAAGTAGCCAGGTGTGGTAGCGTGTGCCTGTAGCTCCAGCTATTTGGAAGGCTAAGGCAGAATGGATAAATAAAATGTGTCATTGTATAAAATGGAATATTATTCAGCCATGAAAAAGAATGGAGTAGGGATACATAAATGAGTTTTAAAAACATTATACTAAACGAAAGAAGCCAGATACAAAGGTCACATATTGTGCGATTCCACTCATGAAATGTTTAGAACAGACACATCTGTAACGGTCATAGATTAGCAACTGCCTGCAGCCAGGAAGGGGCTGGAGGACAACGGAGAACGGGATATTCTGAATAGGTCCAGCTTTCTTTTTGAGATGATGCACATGTCCTTAAGTTGACTGTGGTAATGGCAACAACCCTGTGAATAGATCACTGAACTGTGCACTGTAAATTGTACAGTATGTGAATTTTATCTCAATAAAGCTGTTAACCAATCCCCAAAGAACACAGAGTAAAACAGAGAAAGCAAAAATGAGTCATGAGTGACATCATTCAGTGAGACCCACCACCAGCATTTGAGTGTATTTTCTTTGTGTGTGACACAAAATTAGAACCATAATTTTTTATTTCCTGATTTTTTTTCATATTATTGTATTTGACTGTGTCACCAAATATTTCTCAAACACATGACTTTTAACTGGCTATAATAATATTCCAATCCCGCCCCATAAGGACCATGCAGTGTTGCAGGGTGTTGAACTGAGCCCCGCTACTGAACATTTAGTTGGTTCTGATTTTTTGCTGTTGCTACGAGCACCACCACAATGAATATATCCTATGTTTCCAAGTGCTTCTAGACACAAGCTGATGTTCCCCTTAGAGTTCCTAAAGGGGAAATTTTTCTAATGTTCCTTCTAGACATGTCATTTGACATAATTCATCGATGTGTCAATTAATACAGAGAATTAGTATGAACTGGGATTGCACTGAATTCCTGACTTAGAGGGAGCTCTTTGACCAAGGAGAAGGACTCAAGAGGACCTCCTTCAGATGAAACCGCTGGACAGCAAGACAAATCTGTTCTGGAACTGTGTTGCTCTGGCCCCCTCGCCCCCAACAACATTCAGCTCATTCTCCTAACTGACCCTGTAGGGAACCAGAAAAGATAAGTCACCAAGGCCACGTCTCCTGGAAGAACTCAAATATTTCGGTTTTGGATGAGGGTCCTGACACAGACTGGATTAGAACAAAAAACTCATGATGGTGAAACGGAGGTTCATTTAAGATCACAGTGGATTATCTCATCCGCTAGTTTTAGAAACAGTCATTCAGTCAGGCGTGGTGGCTTATGCCTGCAATCCCAGCACTTTGGAAGGCTGAGGTGAAAGGACTGTATGAGCCCACAGGTTCAAGACCAGCCTGGACAACATGGCAAGACCTCATCTCTACCATAAATAAATAAATAAAATTAGCAGGGTGTGGTGGTGCATGCCTGTAGTTCCACCTACTTGGAAGGTTGAAGTGGAAGGATCACCTGAGCCCAGCAGGTCGAGGCTGCGGTGGCCAAGAGCGAGCCACCGCAGTACAGCCTGGGCAACTCTGACTCAAATTTTTTAAAAAATAGAATCAGCCGGGCTCGGTGGCTCAGCCTATAATCCCACGCCTTTGGGAGGCTGAGGTGAGTGGATTGCCTGAGGCCGCGGGTTCGAGGCCCGCCTGGGCAGCGAGACCTCATCTCTACAATAAATCAAAAAATCAGCCGGGCATGGTAGCGCATGCCTATAATTCCGGCTACTTGGAAGGCTGAGGTGGAAGGATCGCCGGAGCCCAGCAGGTCGAGGCTGCGGTGGCCCAGAGCAGCCACTGCACTCCAGTCTGGGCGACAGAATAAGACTCCAACTCAAAAAAAAAATAGAGTCATTCACTGATGATTCAAACTTGCTTGAAAGCAACGGTAATGGCCTGTGTGTTTTCATTAAAAAATACTTGGGTTTGGCTTAGGAGTGCGAGAGATGGGTATGGTTTGCCATACTCAGATCAGGGTCACTGACAAATCTATTTTGGGGGGAGGGTGGGAAGCCCAGACAAAGTCACCCCTGCCTGGTTTGGGAGGCACTCCTGGCTGTTCCTCCTTGAGCTTTCTGGCCACATGACCCTTTTCTAAATTTTGTGGACTGCTGACACGGGAAGGTGGTCTTTCGGCGAAGTTACGCCCAGAGTCTCTCTTCCACTCAAGCACCCTTAAGTAACCACCCCCTTGAGGCCTTGAGAAAAGAAACCATCAATGTTGAACTTACAAGTGGGGCTGCTGTGTCCTCACAAGTTGGGGATATAGGTGGCGTCTTCCTTTTTTCCTGAATTGCAGGCTTTACAAATATAACATAGGGCTTGAACTCTGAGGTCCTCAGTTGTTTCAGTGCCTGAGAAAGAAAGTTCAGGAATAGGATCTGCTTTGGAAACACTATATTGTGAAACATACTCTTTGAAAGCTCTGTAATCATGTACTTCAGTCCCATAACCTCAAGGGCGAAGGTCCTGGTTCCATTGGTCCCCTGACAATAAACTTCAACGAGGCGGACCAATTGCTCATTTTCCCACCCTTCCCTTTGACATTGAACTCAGCGGGTCCCTGAAGGCACGCTGGCTGCAAAAGGAAGGTTCCAAAGCCGCAGCTCAGAGGCCACTTTCTCTTTCAAGCTCCAAGTCCTTCAGCTCTAATTAACCTTCCTGGGCTCTTCCTGATGGACGAGGAAACAGGAGTCAACATCCACTCAGGCAAGTGTCACCATTTCAGACCACACTAATGCAAAGTCCGTGCTGTCTCACGGGCCTCCTCTTGAAATTGGAGGAAGAAAAGGTTTGCAAAGCAAAGGAGACCACCTGAGAGACCACCTAAAACAAAACCGTGGACTGCAGAAACGGTACTGCTGATGAGTGCATTTTTCTCTCTCATGCAAGGGCCTATATTTGGAAACACTGATATTAAGTGGCCACATGCCCTAGCTGCACAAAAATAAATAAACAAAATTGCTTTTCAAGAAAAATCATTAAATTTTGACTTTTAATTCTCTTCCAACTCCCATGAAGCCAAATAAGGGAGGGTTTTCCTTTATGGACATAATATACTTTTTGGAATAGGTTTCAAGCAAACTTCTATAAAATAAAGCCTGCAGTTCCTATCATAAAATCAGAGCTCTGTTTCTATAGAGGAAAAAAAAATCCCCAGATTGAGTTCAAAGCGTGGAAGTTTTTCAGAAAGACAAGGTTGAAAAGATGGCTGGGCCCCCGCTGGGTCCACAGCATGCTGGGTGTGCAGAACTGGGGATGTTTTTGAAGCACTTCACGGCTCATGTCTCCCTCCCTCTTGGTCCCTTTCAGACTGCTCTCCTGATTGCCTCCTGAGGGGTTCTTTTTTTTTTTTGAGTTGGAGTCTCACTCTGTCGCCCAGACTGGAGTGCAGTGGCCACTCCCAGCCACCGCAGCCTCGACCTGCCAGGCTCCGGCGATCCTTCTGCCTCAGCCTTCTGAGTAGCTGGAATTACAGGCGTGCGCTACCACGCCCGGCTAATTTTTTGATTTATTGTAGAGATGAGGTCTCGCCAAGTTGCCCAGGCAGGTCTCGAGCCCGCGGGCTCAGGCCATCCACTCACCAGTGACTCCACCCGTCCCTGCTGGGGAGAGAATGTGCTGGCACCACAGCTCAGGCCCAGCATCGCCCGGCTGTGGACATCTCACTCTGTCTCATCACCAGGACCAGTCAGTGGCACCACCTAGGGCACGGTTCGCTCCACGCAGGGGGCACCCACCTGAGTCCGTGGGGGCCCTACCATCCAGGCGGCATTTGTGGGCAAAGGGGCACATTTTGGGGTACAAGGATTCATTCAATTCTCAGAGGGAGACCCAGGAAACTTGACAACCAGTGTTCTGGACTCCACATTCCTTAGCCTGAGGTCAAGTGCCCTGCAAAACGCACAGTCCCCCGGGCATCAATTCCTGGAACTCTAGCCGGAACTACCCAACTGGCCCAGAAACTCACTTCCGGCTCCACATCCACCAAGCAAACTTTGTTCTTGGCCAGAACAGCCTGAATGGCCTCCAGGCTGGTTCCGTAGAGGTTCTCCTTATATTCCCCATGCTCCAGGAACCTAGAACCACCAAAGGGAAGGACTTTAGTTCCGGAACTTTCCTGACTAGCCAGAGGGACTTCCCAGCACGGCTTCCCTCCCGCCTCCCCCACCTCCTGGAAGCCCCGCCACACCTCCCAGAAGGCCACACAGAATCCGGGCGGACACCAAGACACACGGCCGCCACGTACTTGTTGTGATGTAAGTCGGCCTCAAACGCTGGCCTGGTGACAAAGTGATATTCCACTCCTTCTTTCTCATGGCTCTTCCGGGGTCTGGTGGTGTCTTTTAAAGAAAGAAGGAGGAAAGCTGGGCAAAAGGATGTCACATCCCAGGGGGCAGGGACAGCCGTGAGCCTGTGTGGCTGAATCTGTGTGTTAACCAACCACTTCATTCCTTGCGCGTCCCTGGCTCAGGCTCTGTGGCTTTCCAGGCACATCACTGATCCGCACAACTCTCTGATGGGGGTGAGAAGAAGCCTCTCAATTTGCAGCTAAGGAACTGAAGTGCAGAGAGGTTGTGCGCCATGACCAGTGCCCTGCCATGGGAAGGAAACAGACCTAGGTCAGCGTCCCTACCACATGTCCCAAAATTTCCAGAACAGACCTAAGAGGTACACTTCCAGGGAAAGCCACATCACTTTTCCCAAAAGAAAAGACGGGGTGTCGGAAGACTGTGGCTTCTGGCCCTCAGGGGCCACCCGGGGTGTTCTGCGTCCCAAGTGCAGCATCTGAGTCTGACTGCTGGCAGAGCTGCCAGGGTCACTATTCCAACCATGACTAATCCCTTGCTTAAAACCTTTTGTTTCCAGAGGCAATGGCGCATGCCTGTAATCCCAGCACTTTGGGAGGCAAGAGGACTGCTTGAGCCCAGGAGTTCAAAACTAGCTTGGGCAACTTGGCGAGACCTCATCTCTACAATAAATCAAAGAATAAGCCGGGCGTGGTGGCACATGCCTGTAGTTCCAGCTACTTGGAAGGCTGAGGTGGAAGGATTGCCTGAGCCCAGGAGGTCGAGGCTACGGAAGCCATGAGTGTGCCACTGCACTCCAGCCTGGGCGACAGAGTGACTTAGACTCAAAAACAAACAAAAAACTTGTGTTCATGCACCGATCACATGGTAACCATCTTGGATAAGTGCAAAAGACCTCCGTGACCGGCCCAGCCTCTGACTCAGCTGCATCTCTGTCAACCCCCACATTGACTTCCCCAGCCCTGACACCACTACTCTGGGTCACACCTTTGCTCCTTTGTACATCATTGTTCCTTCTGTGAAGAGAACTATTCCCTGCCTGGAAAACTCCTATTCATCCTTCAAAATCCAGCCCGAAGGTCACTGCCTCTGGGAAGTCTTCCCTGACTCTTCCAGTTTCTAAAATCAAGGGAAAGTCCATCTGTGGAGCAGGCCCGACCAACCAGGTACTCCCACCCAGGGGACAGATCTAGGTGTCTCTAACGATCAAGTGTGTGGGCAACTTCAGCACGTTTTGGTTCCCCTGAACCTTGGAAGGCCGTGGCTCCCTGAAACCATCCAGGCCCATCACAGGTGTGAGGACAGAACAGCCTCCTAGTCCACCTCCCCTTCAGCCCTGTACCTCGGATCAAGATCTAGAAGAGTATGACAACCCACAGGTGAGGCTTGGGCCCAGAGGCATAAGGGAAAGTGGTTTGTTGAAAGAATAGCTTTGCCATCGTTACCCTTCCCCAAACACCCTGGAAGGGTCCCGTGACTGCCGCCCCACCACCCCTCTGAAGCCAGAGGGACTGAGAGAGCATCCCAGAGAGGGAGGAGGCAGCCGAGGACAGGGCATGGCAGGCGGCAGTGAGAACCTGACTGCCTGTGTTCGAATCCTGGCTCCACCACTTAGCCTGGAGTTGCTTGACCTCTCTGAGCCTCCGTGTCTTCCTCTGGTAACAGTCGCTCCTCTTGAGGGCTCACGGAGGGCTGACCAAGGTGCCCTCCATGCTTTTCCTTCAGAACATTCAGAACCCCAGGGCCCCTCGCCCCTTGGAGCTGGGCATCCCCCGCCGCCCCAGCAGCAGGAAGCCTCAGGAATCAGCAGGGTGGCATCACCCAGGAAGGTACCTGGCCGCCCTGACAGCCTGGATCTGGCTATAAGGGAGTGCCCGAGTGTACGGCTCGCTGGGATCTCCAGCCGCTCTGACCAAACAGAGGGCAGGGGCCATGGAGTCAGAGTCACTGTGATGAGGAGGCCGGAATGCCCCCTTCTGGGGGGGAGGCTGGTGTGAGGTGAAGGCTGCCACTTTGCCTAGAATGTGCTCTGGACGCATCTCCCACCCCAGAGAGGAACTAGACAAGTGGTCCTCCAGCTTCTGCCTCAGAGGGTCTCAGTGGACCACCCGTCATGCCTGGGCCTAACAGTCTGCCTGTAGCAAACAGCACCTGGCAGTCCCTCAGACCCAAAGCAAGGATTAGGATGGATGGGCCTGGGGGGTCCAGTCCCCATGGAAGATCCGTGTGTGCACACACCCACCCCCACATGGGCCCTCTTACGTGGAACGGCAACGCCAAAGTGCTGTGGGTTCTCGGCCACCACCTTCTGCTTCAGCTCGAGCAGTCGGGCTCCCAGAGACCCTGGGAAACAAAGGGAAGGCTGACCAGGGCCCCAGCGAGCGCCCTCCCCACACCTCCAGGGAGGAAACCAGCCCACGGCCTGGAAGCCCAGGAGTCACCTACCGATCAGAACCACCAGGCGGGGCCGTTCTCCAGGCTGGTGTTGGTGCCGGGCCACCTCCTCGTAGGTCAGCAGCTCGGGGGCCTCTGCCGCTGAGGACGTCTTCCCTTCCTGCAAGCCGCCCAGCCTCTCCCGACAGCCCAGCCGGAAGCTCCTCCGGAGACCAGCTTGGGGGCAGGGGCAGGGGACACTACGACATTAGTCCAAAGATCCCCCGCAAAGACTTTCTCCGCCTGGCTAGCCCTGGACTGAGTCCCGCTGACCTGTCCCAACCTCCTCCTGCTCCAGGAAGGAGCTGTCTGAGAAGCACAGTCATCTGACAAAGGGTGACCCCTGCACCCACAAACCAGGGTTCAAGATACCTGTTCTACTGGTGCATGACTGACCTGGCCAAGCCTTTTCATCGCTTTGTGCCTCAACGTCCCTCCCCGTGACATAGGGGCAGGAAGCTACAGATGCAGTTTATGGCTCTAGGCTGGGTCCTGGGCTAGGGAAGACGCTCTAGGGGACATGATGGGGCACTGGCTGAAGTTTAATAACACAAAGAACAGAACTGGACGCGTGTTGAATCCCCAGGACTTGAGAACTGCCCTGAGGAGCTTAGGAACGAAGGGACAGGATGTCCACAGAGGCAGGGAAGGGCGTGGCAGGCCCATGTGACTGGGTGGCAACAGCCGTGGAGTCTGGGGACAGCAAGTGGGAGCTCTTTCCAGAATTCGTATGACTTTTCGGTGCGTTTGAAATTATTTCAAAATAAAGAGCTTGGTCCATATCTCTAGTTAAAGAACTGTGTACCTATCTCTAAGGCCTTTGACAAAACCGACCAAAATAAACAAAGTGAAGGTTCTCTGGAGAGCAGTAAAGACCCCCCACCACAGTGGTGGCGTCAACAGTGAATATTCCAGTTAAGAAGATGACAGTAAGACTGGTGTTCACACGGAGGCCTGTGTTCCTTTCCTGCCTGGGCGCCATGTCCGTGGCTGGGTGGAAGGCCGGTGAGGCCCAGGGCCTGGCAGGGTCAGCCCCCTGTTCGGCTGGGAGACTGAAGGGACCCGTGGGTCCCCAAGGCTCGGCTGCTCTTGAAGACTCTGGGGCTGCTTGTCCCTCCCTGGCTCTGGGGCCCGAGACTGGGCAGGCTGTGAGGCAGGGGAGTCAGGGCTCTCTACTACTCACCCACATAGTGTCCTTTGAGGTGCCCCTCACAGTCACAGGGCTCTGGAAGCAAGCAGAGGGACGGAAGCCAGTGAGTCCTGCAGGGCACACATGCGGCCCAGGGACCCAGCCTAGGACGGCCAGGCAGAAGGATCCCTCCGAGATGGTGTCATGGGTGGGGCTCAGGAGAAGCCACCCCCAAAACAGGCTGTTTCTTCCAGATCTCCACGCTTAGCCTCACCAGCCTTCCCAGGCCCCGCGGGAGTTCTCGGCCAGCAGGCCCCTGCCCGGTCCCTGAGTAAGAATCCAGGTGGGAACAGAGGGAGGACCCATGCCTCTCTCCCTATTCTCCATCTCTGGTCTCCTACCCAGCCTCGTCACACAGTCAGCACAGAGTCCGAGAAGGCTGGGCTCTGCCTGTCAGGTGGTTAGGGAGGGGCCCCGAGGCCTGAACCCTGTCCCCCCAGCTCTGTCCGCCTCAAGAAACAGGCAGGTCCGGCCAGCAAAGCAGGGACAGGAGTGCCGAGAGCCAGAGGGTGCCACCGCCCACGTTGGGGAAGGACAACCTGCCACCCAGCCCCGAGCGTTCCACAGAAGAGGGGCCTTGCCCATGTGCACAGGGGACAGATACCAGGCCTACCTTCGTCACAAGGCTGATCATCTGTGGTTTGCACAAAAGACAGATGGAACAGCGTTAGTGGAGGGAAGGGGCCCTGTGGAGGGGGGGCGGGCAGCATGGCCCAGGAGGCCATCTGGCCCCTCTCTTTCCTCTGACAAACCTGTGATCCAAGCTGCGGCCGTTATTAAGCCCCTAAGACCTGCCCTGAGTGGTCTTCTCGCGTGAGTCTCATTAGCAGTTAGGAGAGAGCCAGCTCATCACTGGGAAGCAGCCCGCGGCCAATGCACTCGGCGGCCCTTCTAGTCCAACGGCAAGGCCGGAAAGCCGCCCTGGCAGGGCCCACAGAGCAGCTCACTCCAGGGTCCTGCAGGGGGAAGAGGACCTGCTCTCTCCTTCTGGAATTGAGACTCACCCGGAAAAATGCAGAGGCTGGAGGATCAAGCAGGTGGGGCGGAACTGCAGGCCAGCCTTGCCCCAGGCCCCTGGCGCCTGCCTGCCTGGGCCCCTAGCTCGGTTACCAGCCTGTCCTCCCACCCTCTGTGTCAGAGACACCATAGCCTGGATGGGCGGGGGAACCTTCACATAGGGCCCTAAACTCTGATCACAGGCCCTTGAAAGCCTGACCCCACTTCTGCTCATGTAAGCCTCCGTTTTTCTCATCTGGGAAAGGGGGATGCCCGATCTTCCCTACATCACAGGGCCACTGTGATGCTTCACAGGCAAGTAAGGCTGGGTGCAGTGGCTTACACCTATAATCCCAGCACTCTGGGAAGCCAAAGCAGCAGGATCGCTTGAGCCCAGGTACTCGAGACCAGCCTGAGCAACACAGCAAGACCTTGTCTCTGCAAAAATAAAAATAAAAAATTAGCAGGGTGACACACGCCTGTAATCCCAGGTACTTGGGAGGATGAGGATGAAGGATCACCTGAGCCCAGCAGGTTGAGGCTGCAGTGGCTGTGAGCACGGCACCGCACTCCAGCCTGGCAGACAGAGTGAGTTCCCGACTCAACAAACAAAAAAAAAAGGCCGGGCATGGAGGCTCACACCTATAATCCCAGCACTTTGGGAGGCCAAGGTGAGAAGATTACCTGAGCTCACCGGTTTGAGACTGGCCTGGGCAACTTGGAGACCTCATCTCTACAATAAATCAAAAAATGTCAAGGGTACCTGCATAATCAATGTGTGTATACCTCACCCTGAATTGTACCCCACATCTTTATAATAAATAAAGAAATAGCCGGACAGGGTGGTACACGCCTGTAGTCCCAGCTAGTTGGAAGACTGAGGCAGAAGGAGGCAGGTCGAGGCTGTGGTGGCCATGAGCATGCCACTGCACTCCAGTCTGGGTGACAGAGTGAGACTCCAACTCAAAAAAAAAAAAAAGGTAAGAAGGTAGGTGGATGTATTTTCTAAACAATACAGTGCCCCACAGAGTGGGTGCCAGGAAAGACAGAGGACGCCCAGCTAAACCCGAATTTCAAATAAACAGCACATAACTCCTGGGCATAAGCATGTCTCAGATAGTGCACAAGACACACATATCCTAAAAAGCAGGCCACTGCCTAGTTAAAATTCACGTTTAGCTGGGTGTCTGTCATTTGAATCTGCCAGATCTGGGAATCCAGGCAAGGGGCATGGGTTCCCTCACGGCCTTCTCCACTCCCTCCAGCATCAGTGCTGCTTCCGTTTGGGGGACAGAGAGCCCCTGGGAGTCTAATGAAAGCTGTGAACCCCCTTACACACACACACACACACACACACACACACACACACACACACACACACACACAGTCTGCAGCCATTTGAGGAGAGGTGTCCTCAATAATAAAAATGATATCCCCAGTATCATTTACGGACCTCAAATGTGGCAGCTCCTCTCCAGGGAAGAGCCCACCAAACCCACCCATGTCCCCCTCCTAACGCCTGTCCCTACCGCCTCCTTCCTCAGGGGCCTGCAAGCTCAGGTCGGGCCCCTGAAGCCCCTCCAGCCCAGCGACACTCCTTCCCAGCAGGAAGCCCCAGAGTCCCGACCCCGGCCCCTCTCTGGAGTGCCATCGTCACCGGCAATCTACTCACAGGGGGGCTTCTTGAGGCTCTGGGGGCTCGGCAGGGTGCCTGTGGCTCTCCGGTAGCTCAGTCGTCTGTGGGGAGACAAGGGAATGAGCAGGCCATGAGCTGGGCCAGAGGATCAGGTGGAAGGAGCCTTCTGGGTGACTCAGGAAACAGAGGCCTGGATCCCACAGGTGGGCACATGCTGCTTCTCACTGGGCTCTGACGAAGGGGGACCCCTCTGCAGGGGCTCGCTGGCTCACGAAGAGGAAGAATCCGAGATTCTCGCTCTGGGAAGCTGCGCCCAACCCAAGATGGCCATCACAGGGATGCAGTCCAACGTCTACAGTCATCATCTCTTGATCCCTTCCTAAGGTTGATTCCCGAGGAAAGGAGACCCCTTCTCTTCTCTCCCCAGCCTCCCCACCATCTGAAGAGGCTGGGGAGTAGTGGAACGACTCCCAGGAAAGGCCGAGGGCAAAAGCAACCCTGACATAACGCCCCTCCCCCCAGGGGAGACCCAGCCCTGGCACACGACCCAGGGAGGCTGCCCACAGACAGGCAGCGCCAAGGCCTCGCCGCTGATTTACGGAATTTCCCCAGGGCTCTGGAGCTGCCAGGGTTTCCACATTTAAGCCCAGCTAAGGAGCCCTCCCCGGCTTCCTCTGGTGAGAAGAGCCAAGAAGTGTGAAGATAAAAATGCAGATGGAGCTGGAATCCCCTGGGGAAACTGAGTGGGAGTTCTAGGACCTCGGTTTCTCAGAATCACCTGGAACATGTGTTGGAACACAGAGATCAGGGACTGCTCTGGAGTGTCTGACTCAGCAGGCCTGGGTGAGGCCCAGGTTGTGCGTTTCTAACAAGTTCCCAGGTGACGCGGATGCCGCCTGCTGGCCTGATCCACGAGGGCCACCGAAAGGGGCAAACCCTGAGGTTCTGCCATCACTGTGTTCTATGGGTGAATACACGCCATCACAACTGCCACATCCGCTGGCCCAGGATTTGCCCTTTTGGAAATCTATGCTAAGAAAATAACTTGAAATACGAGGAACAGTCTACATGCAAGAAAATACTGCAGCCTTCGTGAAAAACTGGACACAACCTAAAAGTGCAGCCATAGGAAAGTAGTGAGGATACTTGGCCATGACTCTTCTTCCTCCAAGAAGCCTTCCCCGCATACCCAGATGAAGGCATGTCCTCTTAAGACAAACTCACAGAGCACCACAACCCCCTCCCTCGAGCTCATCACATTAATTAAAACCGTTTGAGGGCCGGGCTCGGTGGCCCAGCACTTTGGGAGACTGAGGCAAGTGGATTTGGGAGGCTGAGGCGAGTGGATTGCCTCAAAAATTAGCCGGGCGTGGTAGCACGTGCCTGTAGTTTTGACTACTTGGAAGGCTGAAGCAGAAGGCTCACCAGAGCCCAGGAAGTTGAGGTTGTAATGAACCGTGATCATGCCACCGCACTCCAGCCTGGGCAACAGAGTGAGACCCTTACTCAGAAAAAGTCGTTTTTTTAATAAAAATAAAAAGCACAAGAAGGAAATAAATTATGCCGTTGAGACGCGGGGTAATGTTCTCTTCCTAGTCCTTGCCGTCCATGTTTTTACATTTTATTTCTCAACTTTCTCTAAGTATACATCATAGAATCTCCATTCACTTGACGATGTCAGTCTCCACCGATTTCTTTACGGCTCAGACAGCCATCAGCACTAGCCATGGGATGAGAAGAGCCACAAGCCGGACTGGCACTTACCTCAAAGAACATCACTCTGGCTTGGTGGCAGAGACTGGGGGGTCTGTCATGCGCCCGAGCCTCTGCCCTGTGGAGCCAGCCCTTTGCAACACAGCCCAGACCCACCTCTCCTGGAACCGCTTGGAGGGGATAAGGCCGGCTCGAAGGTTGGTGTCCCCGACTCGCTTGGCCTGCCACCACGTGGGGTCATCCTGGCTCACCACCTCCAGGATCTGTCTGCGCTGGAAGGGCAGGCCTGCCTCCTGGCAGGGGATGGCTCGGTCCTCCCGCGGGTTGTAGTGGAAGAGGGCCCGCATGAACACCTGCGCAAGGAGGGTTCCAATGAGCGGCCCTTCTCCACGGGGCCGCTAGTGTGTCTGTGCCACGTCGGAGGTCAAATTGCACCAACCATCCATGCTTAGGAAGAACAAGCAGCCTTGAGAACAGGAAGCTAACCAGAGGCTAGGTGCGATGGTTCCCACATGTAATCCCAACACTGTGGGAGGCTGAAGGGGGAAGGACCACTTGAGGTCAGTTGTTCAGGACCGGCCTGGACAGCATAGTGAGACTCTATCTCTACAAAAAAAATAGTTTAAAATTAGCTGAGTGTGGTGGCACAAGCCTGTAGCCCCAGCTACTCAGGAAGCTGAAGCGGGAGGATTGCCTGAGCCCAGGAGGTCAAGGCTGTGGTGAGCCGTGATCATGCCACTGCATTCCATCCAGCCTGGACAACAGAGTAAGACTCTATCTCAAAAAAAAAAAGAATCAGAAAATTACTAGGCTAGACTAGACGGGCCTCATGACTGAGGTTCTCTTTCCACCTAAACAGTTCCATATTTATTGACCCGCTGCAGCATACATACTCTAAGCCTACACACAGCGACAACTGATCCCAGGAACCAAAAGTAAAAGCCAGCACCGTTTCTAACTCTGTGTTATTTCTGAGATACCAACTGCTCCGAAGACAGCCAGCAGCCATCTGCCACACAAGCAATCTAGGCGACTCGGCGGGAACACAAATATCAACAGCACACCTGTCCCTGACTCCTCACCACCACTCTTCCGTGGGTAACCGGCACCCCCCGTTTTGATGGCTCCACCCTGCCTCATCTGTCACAGCCTTGGCCAAGACCCAACTCAGCTCTCCACCCTGAAGCCACTCTCCCAGAGAGGACGGTGTAGGGACCCAGCATTTTCTCGCTCTTCCCTGTTCTCTTCTATAATTTGCTGGCATGGGTTTATTTTACTTATTTCTACTTTAGAATTATCAGGGTCCAATTGCTTCAGCAGCAAATAGAAAAGGCAAAGCAGGGCAACCCCCTCAGGTCCCCTCCCACTACGGGAGCCTTTCTGTTTTCTTAATAAATCCTGCTTTCTAAAAAAGAAAAAGGAAAGAAGTCAGGGATCTTCCTCTGACAGGGCCACAATGAACCAGAAAAGATTCAGTGAGACAAGTCTAAGAATTTCCCAGCCCTGTGTGACGGGGACAGATGCCCGCATCCAGCCACAAATGTTTCCAAGGTCCCAGGCACTCTGGCTTCAAGGTGTTTTGTTTAGCGAGACAGTTAAATTGAACTTGTTTGATTACACTTAAAAGCCGATCATAGTTACTGAGTCCTAAGATTATAGCTTCTTTTTACTTCAGGTTCACTTTCATTTCAAAGAATCTTTTGTTGGTGTTGTAAATGTAATCTTGACTCAGTTTTATTTTTTATAAAATGTTCTCTAAATACAACTACCAAAAAAAAAACAACTGATCTTCAGTGGCCAGTGCAGATCAAGCATCTGGATCAAGAAGAAATAAATATTCAGGAAGAATGGGTTGAGAGACAGTTTACCTATTTTGTCCTCTAGGAAAACCAAGTTCTCTTCCTGTATCAAGTCAGAGCCCTCAAAGCTGCAGATGGAAAATAAGCTGAGCGTGGTGGCGTGCGCCTATGGTTCCACCTACTTGGAAGGCTGAGGCAGGATTGCCTGAGCCCAGCAGGTCGAGGCTGCGGTGGCCATAAGCGTGCCACTATACTCCAGCCCCGGGCGACAGGGAGACTCCAACTCAAAAAAAAAAGAGCTACAGATGGGGACACTAGATTGTCCCAAGAAGAACCACCTTCCACCAGGTAAGAGGAAATATGATTATGCCCTGGGATAAATCAAAGAATGCAAATAAGAAACCTGCTGTAAAAACACTATCATTGAAAACACTGTCCACTATTAATCCTCATCCATCAGAGTCTGAATGGCCATCTCCTCCCTGCCAGATGCTGCAATGGCTCTACTTTCTGCACTGAGTACTGGGAGGCAGGGGTGGGAATCAATCTTGAGAAACCGGCATGCTTCCGGCCATCACCTGACAAACATTCATCATGTTCTCCTTTCTGACTTGGCTGCCAGGAAGCTCAGATCAAATGTACTGTGAAATCAAAGTGATGCCTTCCTCTCTATCCCCTCAGCTACCGTCTCAGTTCAGGTCTTAAGAATCTCTCACCTGGGCTTTTACCAGGCCCTCCCTGCCTCCAGCCTCCACCCCCACCCCCCTTTCCTCCACATGGCTGCCCCAGGGAGATTTCTAAAATACAAATATGGCTGCATCACCCTCTTCCTTAAAAAAAAAAAAGAAGAAGAAGAAGAAGAAGACTGTTAAGAGTTTTCCAGAATCTGTGGAATTATCTCTTGAGCTGTGGGTGGTACCCTCCCGTATCCCCCAGGGTTGGACCACTTCAGGGCACCCCCGGCTGACTGCCAGCTGCGGCATTTTCATCTGTGTGCCAAGGACTCATCCCCTCTGGCCACTGGGACCAGCTCTACCCTGATCCAGCAAGAGGACTTGCCAGGAATGAACCTCTGGGTGCAGCCCAGCAGGAGTTGGTGTGCAGACCCCCCAGCTCTGGGATCTTGGGTGGGATGACGGAGGTGTGCATTCCATGGGGATCCTGAACTCCCCACAGGATTCTGCTCCGGTGGCCCACAGGGGTAACCTGCTTGAGAACGTCCGCCTCTTCAGATCAGCGGCCCCATCCCCACTCCTGTGCTGGTGTATCCTGGGGACACCTCCCGATAAACCATGTGCGTGCAAATCCTTGTGTCGGAGTCAGCTTCCACAGGCCCCAAACTAAGCAGAGATCATGCCACACTCCTTAGCGAAGCATTCAAGGCCATTCGGAACAAAGGCTTAACCCTCCCAGCAAAACCCACACCCTCCTCCCCGACCTGGCATCCCCTCACTCTCACTGGTCCAAGGACACATTCTCTTCCTCTGCGTGTGCAGACCCCTGGGCCTGACCCCCTCGGAGGCTCAGCCACAGCTTCCTTGAGCCTCAGTTTCAGCACCTCTCCATGGTGATGTAACCCTCTGCACAGAGCCTCACACCTGTCATCATCACAGCCATGGAAGACCTGCACCCTGGCCTCCCCTTCTGCCCTGAGAACCCTCGAAGCCACAAATCGTCCCTGGCTCCAGCATCTGACAGAGTGCCTGGCACAGAGGAGGTGACCCAATAAGGCAGGCTCAGCAAGTAAGTGAGCACATGGTAGTGACTTAACTGGCCCAGAATCCAGCACACTGGGTGCCTTCCACTCCTCACGGCCCTGACCTTCTGCTTCAGTGACAGTGACCTTGTCTTTTATAGTAAGCGAAGTCAAGTCCTGTTTGGGAGGAGGCAGTGTACGAACACATGAATCACTCTGTGACTGAATTAAGGCCCTCTACTGGGCACAGATGACGAGAACTAGATCTCTGATCCGTTCCCGAGTGACTGTGCCAGACCGGCTCCAGGCTGCAGCCACCAAGCTGCAACTCCCACTGGGAGAAGCCTCCCACGAGCCTGCCTCCTGTACCTTGCTCTCCTTGAAGCGATCCTCCTCCTGGGTGGCAGGGATGATCTTGAGAGTGATGGACCCCTGGGACTGGGCCTGGAAGAAGCCGGAGCAGAGGCTGATCAAGTTCAAGCCTAATTCCCAGATCTAAAAACTGATGCTCGGAAGAGAAGTTCGACCCACAGCCTCCCCAAGGCCCACCCTTCTAGCCACCCTTCTAGCAGGGCCATTCAGACTCTAAGGTAAAACTCAGAAACCAAGTGACTGCATTTACAGGAGACAACAGGACAGAAAACTTTAAATGAGAGCCATGGAATCCCAACTCTCCATCCCTTCCATCTGCAGAGCACCAAGGGTTCCCTTCCCTGCCTGCCGCTCGGGCCATCTGAATACCTGTTCCAGTCTGTTTCCACTTTCCTTATCTGGGGCTGATCCTTGATCGGCACATCCCTCTCTGCTTCCACCCTCCCCAGCAGCACCCCGTCTCAGGCCACTCCCAGTTTTCTCAGAGCTCCCCTTCCCTGCACCCCAATGCCAGGGGCCCCCGAGGAAGAATGCAGTCAAACTGGAGAGCACAGCCCGCCAGATCGTCCCTGGTCACTACCCAGGAGGCGCTGGAACACAAGGTTGGCAGCTAAAACCAGGGACAGGAGAGCTTGGACAGAGATGGAAGGGCTTGCTGCAATCTGGGTCCCCTGTAGTGGGGCCTTAAAGAGTGGGCCTCCTCACTTCCCATCCCAGCTTGCTTCTGCCCTCAAACCCATCAGAAGTTAGCAAAGAGCATCACATTGGCGGAGGAAGGGGACCAAGCTAGGACGTGAGCTTTTCCCAAGTGCAGTTTTGACTTGAACTCCGCAGAATGAACTACGGAGGTATGTAATTGAGCATTCGATCCCTGGAATCCCCATGCCATTGTGAAGGGCTTTCTCCTGTCCCAGAGGTTTCCATCTGATGACAAACACACCCCGGTTGAGGAACCACCTCTATCCCCATTTTAAAGGAAACTGACACTCAGATGATGTGATGGCTCGCCCAAGGCTGCACAGCTAAGAAGACGCAGAGCCAGGATTAGACCCAGGAGGGTCCTCTGGAAGGGGAGCCAGGGGTGGGGGCACGGCTGTGCTGAAGAGAGGGCCTGAGACAGGTGGACTGCAAGTTCCCCTCCTCCTACCCCCACCCTGTGCCCGAGGCACACTGTTGTCGGGTCACTGTTGCCTGAGGCCCACCTCCTCGTGACAACTGGGAGACTGAGCCAGACCCCACCCTGCTCCAGGGGGCAGCCAGTTCCTGGTGTCTGAAGACCCGCCAACAACCCCCCCACACACACGCCCCCACCCACTCACGCACCCCCCCCACACACACACAGACACAGGCAGCACGGACCAGGATCTGGCTGATCTCGTCTGGCCGCTTGTGCAGGACAGCAATCCCGTTCACTTCCCGGAGCTCGTCACCAACGTGGACCAGGCCTAGGAGACGCGGGACAACCATGAGCACCGGAGGAGGCCTCAGAGAATGGGCCCGGAGCTCTGGCCACCGTGGGGCCTGCCTGAGGAGCCCACTGCAGAGCGTACTCGAGGCTTGAAGCTGGCAGATGGGACAGGGGTGAAGGGAGCTGCCTCACGTGCTGGGCCCCTCCCTCGCATGGAGGGCTCACCATGGCCCAGCGAAATGCCCAGTTTACAAGTTGGCAGCTCAGGCCCAAGAAGACGAGGCAGTCTGCCTCAGGCCACACTGCTAAGAAATAATAGCCGGTACTCAGATGCAATTGTTATGACATAGAAAGCCTGTGTTCTTTCCACTGTAAGCTTTGCTGCTTTAACAGTATAATTGAGGGCTGGGCACAGTGGCTCACGCCTGTAATCCGAGCACTTTGGGAGGCTGAGGTGGGAGGACTGCTTGAGCCTGGGAGTTCGAGACCAGTCTGGGCAACATAGCAAGACACCATCCCTACTAAAAAAAAAAGTGTTAATTTGAAATCTGTAGACATATTTTATTATATGTGTAATTACGTATATTATATATATAATTATTTTAACCCGTAACTCTTCACCTTCCTGGTTTCCAGACTCACTCCGAGAATGGCCTCTGTAACTCTTAACAAGGAAACATGAAGGCCCCAGCAAGAATGTCATCAAGAGCTTTAGCCACGCCATCCATGAGCCTCCACTTTGGTGGTAAGTGTCTCTGCACATGAGGGTCCTACTTTCCACTGGCAGCGGACATTGGCCCTGCCACACCAGTGTCGCCTGGGAGCAGCTGGAAGTGCAGAATCCTGCCCCAGTCCAGGCCACTGAGCCAGAGCTCACACTCAGGGGCCTCACCTGCTCGCTGATGTCTGTGAGGCCCGGGTTCAGGACTCTCCGCGACAGTGGCTCCCACACTCTGGGGTTAGCAGCCCCTACTCCAGGAGGACTCCCCCGCCCTTAGTAGTTCTTCCACACACCAGTAAGTATCAGTCTGCTTTCCACCCAAACAAATCTGGCACAAGAACACCCTCTCTCTGCAGCAGCAGCTTGACAAGGCACCTGGGGGGTGGGGAAGTGTGCCAGCCCTGCCCCCCCCAGGCATCCCCTGCCAGGCCCCTGCTGAATGCGTAATCATCACCCTCCACAGACTCAGCCCACGCACAAGCCCTTTCCTGATCGCCCCCAAAGTACCCCTAGGCCCATTACATTTTGTTTGTTGTTGTTTTTTTGAGATAAACTCTCACTCTTTTTTTTTTTTTTTTAATTGGAGTCTCACTGTCACCCAGATCGGAGTACAGTGGCACGCTCCCGGCCACCGCAGCCTCGACCTGCTGGGCTTCGGTGATCCTTACACCTCAGCCTTCCGAGTAGCCGGAACTACAGATGCGCACTACCACACCCGGCTAATTTTTATTTATTTATTATAGAGATGAGGTCTCGCCAAGTTGCCCAGGTGGTTCTCGAACACGCGGGCTCAGGCAATCCACTTGCCTAGGCCTCCCAAAGTGCTGGGATTACAGGCTGAGTGACCAAGCCCAGTCAAGGTCTCACTCTTGTCGTCCAGGCTAGAGTGCAGTGGCACAATCACAGCTCATGGCAGCCTCAACCTGTTGGGCACAGGCGATCCCTCCGCCTTAGCCTCCCAAGTAGCTGGGACTACAGGCACATGCCACCAAATCCGACTACATTTTTGTAGAAATGAGGTCTCAGTATGTTGCCCAGGCTGGTCTCTAACTCCTAGGCTCAGGCAATCCTCCCACCTTGGCCTCCCAAAGTGCTGGGATTACAGGTGTGAGCCACTGAGCCCAGCCTCAGGCCTGTTATATTTGCAATTAAAACTTCCACTGGGCTTAGGAAGAAAATGCGCATTGCAGCCTCACACCCAGACAGCAAAGCACATCCCCAACAGGTGACCTGACAGAAGGGAGGTAAGAAGAGCAAACGGGGAAGACTCCGGAACAACGTGGGTCACGCTGCACTGCTGCCACTTACCGCTGCGATCTGCAGCGCCCCCTCGCATGATCCTGGCCACGACGACGGCCCCCGAGTGTTCGTCCCTCCGGATGGTAGCCCCCTGCATCCGGGACAGAATAGACAGACTCCTGAGAAGCAACTCCACTCTCTGGGCCCAAGACGGCCTTCCCCATCCCTTCCTCTGCCACCCCAGAAGGCTGATGGTGGGGTGGGAGGGGGTGTTGGGGGGCACGGAGAGGTTTCCCAATGCCTAGACGCAAACAAAATCAACATCTCCCATTAGTACCGCACTACACAATACCCCTGTGGCGTTTTTAATTTTTTTTTTTTTTTTTGAGTTGGGGTCTCACTTGATCCAGGCTGAGTGTAGTGGTACAATCACAACTCACCACAGCCTCGATCCATCTCCTGGGTTCATGCATTCCTCCCGCCTCAGCCTCCCAAGTAACTGGGACTACAGGCACACGTCACCATGCCTGGTTAATTTGTGTGTGTGTGTGTGTGTGTGTGTGTGTGTGTGTGTGTGTGTGTGTGTAGACAAAGCTTCACTATGTTGCCCGGACTGGTCTGGAACTTCTGGGCTCAAGCAATTCTCCCATCTCAGCTTCCCAAAGTGCTGGGATTACAGGCATGAGCTATCATGCCCGGCTCCCCGTGACATTTCAGATGAGGGACTGGGGCTCAGACAAGTTAAGCACCCTCAAGGTCACCCAGCTGGCAAGGCAGAAGGTTTTTCATGATGCCAAATCCAGCGCTTGATCACATCTCTATCAGCTCACAGCTCTTACCCCTTGCAGAGACATTTAATAAATGAGGGTGCTATGTGCCAGCAAATTCTCACCCTGCCTCTAGCCAATCACGGGGCTACCAAGCCTTCTGTTGCTGCCTAGGGGAACTAATTAGGCCTCAGCCAGAGCTTCAGGGCCAGGACTTGACCCGTGCAGCACAGCAGAGATGACGCCCAGGATGAAAGTCCCCGGATTCTCTTCCCCAGGCAGGCTGGGTTGCGGCAGTTACAGCAGAATGCTCAAGAGCCGAGCTCCAGAGTTGGGCGACCTGGGTACGAACACGGCTCTGCCATTGACTAAAAGCATGTGACCACAGCGAGGAAGTCCCTTATCACCTCCAAGACTGTTTCCTCTGGGCACGAATGGCACTGAGCTCTCAGGAGTGTTGCAAGGATGACATCGGGCAATGCATGCGAGGTACTTGGTACCCGGCAGGCACTCGACAACCACTAGCCATTGATTCTGGGCTGTGACTGCAAACACACATGCACACTAACTATCGGCTTCCTCTGTGTCACCTATTTGAAAGACATAATTATTACTGGAAAGAGAGGCCATCCGCTAAGAACCTCGGGGTATCTTGCCCTTCAGACCTGCGAACTTTCCAGCATGTCTGTCCATGGTTTATTCTGCTCTGAACTGCCAGACCCTGAACCCGCTCAGGAGAGCTCACAATATGTCTGCCGAATCCACGGATGACTGCCCATTTTACAGGTGAGGAAACAGAGGCAGAGGAGAGACCTTTGCCTGCTTGCAGAAGGGCTCGCTGGCAGTCATCTGCGGAGGGTTGAAAATAGAGAAAGTCCACGGCGGCATCCTCTCGAACAGACTCAGGTCTCCAGACGTCCGCCGTTTCCCTCCATCTAATAAACCACGCTAGCCCTTTGCTGAGGAAATCGGTGTGAGCAGGACCAAGATGACAAGCAGCTGCCAGCCAGCCGGAGAGAAGAATGCCCTGACTTCCTCGGGAGTCAGTGCGGGCAGTGGCACGTTTTTTGCTTAAAGGGCCAGATGGGAATATTTCAGCCTTCATGGGCCACTCCATCTCTCTGTGGCAGCTACTCGACTCCACTGTGGTAGGGTAATGGCGACCACAGCCAACCCTAAGAGGTTGGCTTTGGCCCTTGGGCCGTAACCCAGGGCCACCCAGACGGCTGTGCAGGCTACTTACTGCATAAAGGGGCTTGCCGGTTGTTGAGAGTGGCCATATCCACCGACAGAAAGGGGTGCCCAGCACACCAAGGCACCGAGGGGACTAGTAGCAGCCCCCACAAAGCCACAGTCACTCGCTCTGCAGACTCCGGGAGGGTCCCTCCCTGGCTCCCGGGTGGGCGTGAGATGCAGGGAAGCGTGGGGGGGTGGGGCACAGGCACCACATACCAGGGGTTCCTTGTTCTTCACCAAGCGGACAATCTTCACAGATTCCTCATCAAAATCCTCGTCAATGTTATCAGGCAGAGGGGGGAGGACAGGGTCGAAATTCTTCTGGGCAACCGTGTCGTGTACCATAAGCACAGCCTGCCGCGAAAGAAAGAGAAAAGGAGGGCTGGCCACGGCTCACGGGCCAGCGGGCCTTGGCCAGGCTGGAGGGTTGTGGACATCGCACCAGAGACACCGTCCCCTTTAGCCCCCGAGGCTGGCACTGAAGAGCCCTCCCTTGGAGGTCTCCTCTCCTCATTCTCACGGCCAGCGTTCCCTCTGCTCCAACCCAGGAGACATGAGAGGCGTGGGCAGGCAGGGGCCGCACGTGACTACCCTGAGGTGGGGGGTGGACAGCAGCTGGAGAAGCTCCCTCTCGTCACCATGCACGGACGCAGCCTGCAGCTCCTCCATCACCTGCAGGGACCGAGACACAACGTTGCCCACACAGCTGGATCCCTCCTCCCTGGGCCAGAGACCTAAGGATCTCCCAGGAACAGCTGCAGTCCCAGGGCCCCATCAGACCCCCTCCCCCCAGCCACCCCAGGACAGATGCCCCTGGGGAAACTGAGCCAGAAGACTGGAGCAGCAATCCTATCAGAAGCCCCTCCTGCGTGCCATCTGTTCCCTGTGGGCTTGCTCATGACAAGCTAGATGTCCTGGGTCCTGCTACCCTGCCATTTTACAGATGAGACTCTAAGGGGTCTCATATCTCGCCCAAAATCACAAAGTTCATACGTGGCACAGCCAGGATTTGAACCTGGCTTTCTCTGGCTCTCCTGTCGATGCCCACCACGATGAGGAATGGGGAAAACAGAGCTCAGAGAGGTTGCCTGGCCCGTTGGACATCACAGAGCTGGTGCCAAAGGCAGCCAGCGCTGGGTCCAGAAGTTGGGCCGTCTAACATGCCACGGAGATACCACCTCCCGGGGTTAGGTTGTTCAGGAGCTGATTTTAGTAAAAAGCCAGGACCCACAGACCACCAGTCCACAAGAAATGAGGCAACAGTCCTTAAAAAATGAGAAGCCTGAGCCAGGACGCGGGGACCCACGGCAAGACCCTTGGCTTCGGGACTTCACACTGGCCACCCAAAGCACCGACACAATGTGCTCACGGACCTCTCCCAGTCGCCAGTCCTCGGAACGGTTTGGGGACTGCTGAGACGACCCAAGGCTCCCACTTTGCAGCAGAGGAAACAGACTTTCTCAGGAACACACAGTAAGTGGGCAGCCCCATGTCACCCCGTCGCCCAGCCTAGGCCAAGGCTCAGAGGTCCTGCCTGATGGCGGACCCAGAGAGGAGAAGGAGGAAGAGGAGGAAAAGAGATGCCTCTTCGCCTTGTAGCTCCCGACTCCTGATGTCCCCGGGCTAAGCAATGGTGACAAAGCAAGATGAGGGAGCCCTACGGGTGGGGAGTGGAACTGACACTAATGAGAAAAGCCTGGGCTTACGTCCTCAGCCAGGGCCACGGCACTGTGCAGTACTGGGGTTGGACTCTGTCTTTCGTAATAGCGAAGCTTCTCGTGAATCTGTGAAGACAGGGGATGTCAGGTTCGCCCCAGACGCCCCATATCCCGCCCGGCTGGGGGACACAGAGGGCTGCAGACTGCGTCACTGAAGGGCAGCGGAAGAGGAGACCCTGCCTAGTGGCCACGAAGACTTCCTGGGGCAGGGGGCAGCTAGGATGGTCTCCAGGGGCTGCAGCCAGTCGGGAAGACCCCGGCAACCCTCGCCAGGCAGCACAGAAGGAGACGCCACCTTCACGAGGTAACCAAGGCTCTTCTCACTGAACACGCCCCTCAAGAAGCCCATCTCCTCCTTGTGGTTGGAGTCGGGTCTCAGCTGGGAGGTCAGCAGGGCCAGGGTTTCGTGCAGACCTGGGGAGAGTGTGAGGAAAGGGAGGATTAGCGAGCACAGTGGGCACCCCTGTCCCAGGATCCCCCTGGCCTCCCACTGCTCCAAGGCTGATGGTAGAGCCTCCTCTCCAGGACTGAGGCAGGGCAGGGAGAGGCACTCACCTGAGTCCTCCGACAGCACTGGCATGCCTGTGCCCCACGCGGCCTGGCCTCTCCCTGTGGATTCTGGGAGCAAACGCGAGGTCGGGGTAGTTGCTGAAGCCCCATCAAGCATATTCCTTCAACAAACAGTGACTGCACATTTGCTGTGTCTGTCCATGGCCAATGTGTGGAAAAGAGGATGGGAACAAGTCTCTGTCTGCCCACAGAGAAAGGAAACAAGACAGATTTTGGTGAGAGCCACTGTGCTTGGTGATTTCATGTAGAATATTTTTTTAATCTGCACACAAAGTCCTGAAGAGTGACTACTAATGTTCCCATTTTACTGATGAAGAAACAGAGGACTGGAGGGGTTCGCTAAGTAACCTGTGGGCCAGAACCCATGCTCAAGCGGCTCTTCTAGCCAGGCCTTGGAGGTGCCTAGCGACCCCTCCTGACACGGCTGCTCTCCCCTGCAGCACCCCCAGCCCCTACTGTCACCCTCTAGGAAGCCTGGCTGAAGTCCCCTGCCCAGGCACCTTCCCCAAGCCCCCACCCAAGGGAGCCTCCCGAATGGAGCGTGGGGAGAAGGAGAAATGAGTGGGGTTTCTGCTATGCGGGAGGGGGGCCCTATCCCAGGAGGCCCCCCAGGAGCGCTGCAGCACGTGGACCTCAAAAAGTCCTCCTTCGCAAGGGGGCAAGGCCAGTCCCGATTCATTCATTCCGCAAACATGGAGCCAGCCCGAGGCGCCGCGCCGAGCCCGGGTGACACCGGCGGCGCGAGGAGGTACCCGGGTCCTCCCACCCCCACCCC